TAAAGAAATACATTTTTTTGCAAAGGCGGCTCAAGTTTCGGTTTATCAAGTTTTTTCATCCAACTATGACGCATTTATCTCTTACACGATGTATTTTATTGTGAAAAGTCTTGAGTACAATGATGGAAAACTACGAAATAGCTGCAGTGGAATGCAGTGCAATACGATGTTTCCCAGGCAATCGCCATTCAAAGGTTACGGTGTAAAGACCACGAAGATCTGCAATTAATTGCCGACATTGAATTTAATCATTGTCCTGTCAAGTTACGTAAAGGCGCTACACTCAATTGCTTCTAGCATTAAAGTGCTGATAATAATATGGATTTAAAAGAAAAATTAGATCTAAAGAAAAACAAAATAAGTGAGTAAAAAGTTTTAATTTATTGCAATTTTGGTATTGCAATGGGTATAGATAGTATGTTACATACGCAAAAATGTAATTAGGGGAATTGTTCTTTGAATTATGTCGCATTATTCCGAATGTAACTAAAACCTATATTATTCTACATTTTCGTCTCTAGAAATTACAGATTTCTATTTTCGCAATAGATTCAATAACAGATCTTTGATGCTCTGTATCATTAAACTCGTAAAGTCTTATTGTTAGTTCCATAGATTCCTATTTCAGATTACACAATTATGGAAGCGTATTTCTCCTTTGTCCATTTATTTGACTACAAAATCGTTCTTACTCACAGATGGAAATGTCGTGTTACGTCAGTTTATAGTAGAAAGTTACACCGTGTCGCATCACGATAGACAGATCGTCGATCTCCCGTGAAATTATAGATTACCCAGGTATTGTATTGACATGCGAAAACAATTCTTATGGCATTATTCGGTACTAGTAAAAATATGTTCCAACATATCTATTCGATGAGTTATTTCTCTCATTGGGACATTTTTTATGGGTAATGAATGAAAGGTATGTAAGTGATACGTACAAGATGATTCACGAAGAAAACGCAAAATTATAGAAACTGATTTATCAGATAATAGTATTTGCAATGAAAAAAATGTACAATGTAAAAAAAACCAATTGCAAATAATCATAAGATAAGATTATTGCTAATCTTATTAAATAGATATTTTATGTATTCAAATGTAATAAAATAATTTAATTATATTTTACTTTAATGTGTGTGAGAGAGAGAGAGAGAGAGAGAGAGAGAGAAGTGTAATTTACAACATATTTTTACTATATACATTTTTATCATTATTTCTCCTACATTGCAAATAATCTTTGCATTGAAAGAAAAGATTGGTTGTTGCAACAATTTAGATAGTAAAATACAGCATAGCATTTTTATATGGTTGCTGCAGCCATATAAAAATGCTATGTCATATTTTATTATCTAAATTGTTGCAGCAACCAATCTTTTTTTTTCAGTGTGGCTTCTTTATCATGTATATAAACGCATTAATTATATTATTACGCAATTAATTATATAATTACTAATGCAGATTTGTCATTTGAATCACCATGTAAAATTACGACTGCAATTTCCTTCGATTTCCTCAAATAGGGTGGGTGAACTCAAAGGGCGTGACCTTGGCGAATTTATTCCTATTATTACTTATTACTATTTAAATAAGAAGGCGCCGGTAAAGAGTAAATAAAAAGCAAAATGAAAGCATGACTACATTCGCAACAACTCGACGGGTGCATTAACACACGAAGCGTGAAGGCCACGAAAATGTGATTGTCAATCTTCCTTGTCCGGAGAAATGCTATTTAGCCATACTTTTTCGATTTCTATGTGAAGACAGGCGTATGATCAGGCGATACGCTTTTTCGAATTCGCAACATTGTATGTAAATGTTCTCACCTTGTATCGTCACGCATCAATAAATGAAATCCGCCTGATCGGATTTATAATTCCTCGTATTAAATTGTTTTTTGCGATTAATAAGAATCCAATCCCTTTCTAATTAGAATCATGAAATCTATTAATAAAATTTATATGTAACGAACTGTCGCACATACTTCTTTCTCTCGTCAAATCAGAATATTCACGCCAGGCAATATAATTTCCGATATTTATGTGATTCAATAAAGAATTTTTCAGTTTATTTCCTTTTGCAATTTATATCTTAAACGCGCTCTTATAGTAATGTTACGTTGTAAATTTCTGCGTAAAACAAAATATTGCTTTCTAACATCGGGAGATTAGATATCTTTATTCAATAGAAAGCTAAAAATCATCTGACTTTCTCTATTTGCTCTAATAGCGTAGGATTTACTATAACTATCCTCATGTATAATTAACCAAATCATAAGTCGCGCAAAACTTCCTGAAATGAGTAAACGATAAATAGACTTTTATCGGATTTTCGTTCGCGCGTTTAATTCATCTTTTTACGAGCGGAAATTCCGTCAAGTTCTGCGAACGAAATAAAAGCGAAGATTGCGTTACAACCAGGTGAATGACTTCCATGATAGACCAGAAGCGGAAACGTTTATTTCGTATAAAAAATTACATTCATCATGCTACCGTGTATATAATCAAACATTCTCTATCTTACATGCATCCGCAAAAAACTGAATAGGTACATCTTATTAATAATAAAATTATAAAATTATAATTATAATATTGAGTGAAATAAAAAACAAACAGAAAATTAATCGAAGGGAAATTTGATAGATCAGTTTTACTTTTTATTTCTGTCTTGATAAATTTTCCGTCATCATCATTAATTATGTTTCAAATTTTGTAAAATTTAATTAATTATTTTTTGCTTATGTGATTTTCATTCATTTTCACACATTTTTTTAAACACATTGTTGTATGTTAATTATAAATTAAATAGTTTTTTTTTATAATTAGTATATTTAATTCTAATTGTCGGATGAACATTTATTTATTTTTGGTCTCTAAAGAAAAATTCCGCAGTGATTGGGTTGTTGGCAAATGTCATATACACGGTAGACATACATCGTTACATCTCAAGAAGCGGTATAATAATTTAAAACATAAGAGACTCGTTTTAACAAAGCCTCGATAATATCAAAATCTAAAACCTATTTCGGCGTATGAGAATGAGATTCAACTCGATAGAGTTTTAGAACCAGCTGACTTCTCTTCAAAGAACACCAAGAAATAGAATATTAAATTATATAAATCGTATTACATATTATAGATCAATTTTCGGTCAATGGCGCTGTTCCTCATCGACCGGCTTGTTCTGCGAATATTCCGCGTCAATGTTATCATTGCTTGGATAGTAAACCTTACTACGGTAATAATAGGGTCCTTTGGCATCATTGGGCAACGGCTTGGGGACGAAAACGCTTTTCGGTGTGTATTGAATACGATTCGCTGTAAGGTCATATGGTATCTGTGCCTGATATTTTAGCAATTGCTTGATCTCTGTAGGCATATTCCTATCCAAATATAGAGTAGGCATTGGAGATTCTGGTACGGCTGCTAATGGAAACGCTACGATCTGTTGCTGCTGCTGCTGCTGTTGCTGCTGCTGCTGTTGCTGTTGCTGTTGCTGTTCATAATCCTCCTTATAGGCGACTCTATCCTGACGCTCTACTCTTCTATCGCTGTAATCATACCTGGGCTGCGCTCTTTGAGGATCAATCGACTGGTATCTCTCCGCCGGTTGTAAATACGCACCACGAGGATATTCGGAAGCGGCAGGAGCCGGTTGCTCACGTTGCTTTGGTGCCGCCGCAAAATAGTTGCCGCCGTAAATGAAAGATGTAGGATCAACATAAGGAGCTTGCGGCTGATAGACCGAATCGATCAGCTGTTTAATATGACTCGGCACTGCTGAATACGGCTTGTAACTGTAATACTGTGGACCTTGAGCCTGCTGTTGGGCTTGCTGAGGTTGAGGCCGGGCCGGTTGTTGGGCTTGTCGAAGACGAAGGGGCGAGCCGCCCTCAGCACGTTGAGATCGCTGAGCGTTCGCTTGCTGCGACCGCAACTGGCCCTGCAGTGCGAGGTACTCCGAATGGAACCTCGAATCTGCAACACCGAAAGAAACGGTCCGTCATTCTGGCATTGATTAAGGCTGGTCGTCGATTATTGATGCTTATGCAACGTTGACCTCAGTCGAGGATCGTAAAGGAATTGTTCTAAAGATCTGGGATGTGAAAATCTATTCTTGCGTGCATACAATAGCAGTAGCGGTAACAGTTAATTGCGATACATCGGATCCAAGGTTTCCGAAGTACATCTTCAACAGCAAGTAATCAAAGAAACTCACCGTCACTATCCGCATACTTGATTTGCTCTTGTGGCGCGCGAACAGATCTCCCTATATTTTCCGTTTTTACCCACGCGATTGACATCATCGCAATAAGAAAAATCTGCAAATTTGTAATAAATAATAGCACGATATATGAACCAGTTATGATATATTAGGCAATATCATAACTGGCTTTAAATTAAAAGTAATAAAACTGAACAAATGTTTCAAAGATAAATTCATAATGTCAAATTATATATTAAATTTAAGTTTTTAATTAATTCTTATCGGCCGCTCTTACTCAATAGTTAATTTAACTGAAACAATGGAGTTAAATAATTTAACTGAAAAAATGCATTAAGTTTGACTTAAATTTAGTTCATTATTTACTAAGTGCATATAGTAATATGGACGTTGTTTATTTTAAAACTAAGCAATTTATCCACAGAAATGAATTGATTCACATTTTGATATATATGAAAGTTGAAAATGATAAATTTTTTTTTAATTCAAACAATTAGACATCATTGCTTTTTTGATATCTAACAATGTGCAACGTAAGAAAATGTTCCGCGAATAATTATGCGATAAAATTATATTAAAAGATAATATATATTTAATTAAATAAGACTGATATTAAAATAATTAACAATCACACACTTGAAATTAAAGAAACCGATTAAAAAACATTCACCCTTAATATTCACATATCAGCAGAAAAACCTGCGAAATAAAATTTGATAATATTGGAATACTTCTCATCACTATATTAATCGACACAATGGAAGCGGCCAATCAATCAAAATATCCTGAACACTCACTGATAGTTTCATGGCTGCGTGCGGAAAGAGATGTGCACGGATTGTCGCGCCGAGGTTACTCGCAGAAATCAGCCGGCGAAGTCGGCGTAGCTCTTCTATATAGCCGTAGTCGCCCCGACGTAATTGGTGACGCGGGTACGCGGCTGGTAGCTATCTACTTTTAAAAGTAATTCTGTCTCAGGTAACGAAAGAACTCCGACAAAAGGCTTACCTCCTCCCCGAGGATATATTATCATTCATTGTAAAATTGCTTCTCATTGCTGTAACGCTATATAAAATTATTTATACCAGATGTGAATTCCCACAGAAATTCAGAATATTTGCGAATCCGAAAGAGGAAAGTTGACAATATATTTTCCTTACAGTTGAACAATGCACAATTTTTATCTGCGGAATTAATTGTTACAGTAAAACTGTTGCATCTCAAAATGTACTTGTCAATTTTATAGAAAAAAGACTATCTATAACATATTAGATAAACATAAAATAGCATAAAATATAAGATATATTTTGGCAATATCATTTGCATATGAAGAAAAGTGAAAAGTAGTAATTAAAATAAAGAAGATACGAAATAAATAAAAGAGCATAAAACATGATTTTTAGTAGAGAGTTAATATGTTTTAAATAGTAAATAGAAATTTAAGAAAATAAAAATGCGCAACGTTTAAGTGGTTTTCTCATAAAGGAGCCTTGCGAAGTATCAAATTCTAATTTTAATAAAACTTCGTACACATATAGGTTATGTAAATTGATAAATTTAAAAATGATCAGTTGCGCGACCAATAAACGGTTTCTTTTTTAAGAATTAAAATTACATCTTATATGTAAAACAGTTTTCAGCTTTTTTGTTATATCTCAAAAACTATCATCATATCAAAAAATATTTTTAAAAAGTTTTTATAAATTTTAGAAATATAGCAAGGAAAGCTATATTTAAAATATTTTATACATGTATATAAGGGGTGAATTTATTTTTGTTTAATGACCACAACTGATATTTTTTTAAATTCGTCTATTTACATAATGAGCGAGATTCCCTTATTAAATTAAAAAGATTAAAGTTAGATTAAAGTAAAAGGAGGTTGTGAACACATTCAACCTTATGTTCTCCGAAGCAATTTTTTTAGATTTTAAGAATGGTGAAATCATTAGGCTTTATGCGATTTCGAGGGTTTTAACGAGGCTACAATGACGTAATAAGAAACGTCGGTATGTGTTTTTTAAACTAAAATCCTCGTTTCAGAGTACTAAAGCGGAGCTGTAAGGTTCGCGTATGCACTTAAATTATCTGAAATGAGGGTAACGACAAGGTAGAAACCAAAAGAAAGCGCGCAGCAAATGTCCAGCTATAAACGGAACACAATAAATATGGGATTGCATAAAGTGGAAAAAAGTTAGAATGAGTCTTTTGCTTCGTGCATTTGTATTTTCTTATATTTAATGTTGTGAAATGGTAATTAATATAATTCCATGAGACAAAAAAAGAATATAATTATATGGAAAGGATTTATAATAAAAGTAATTTTTAGCTAGTCAAGAAATCTCATCATAGTTAAAAACAATTTTTTTTATTCCGTACATTGTTTCCTTAGTTTTCAAAAAAAAAAATCAATATAAACTTGTTTATTATTTCTTATTAATTTTATTATTTTCAAAAAACAATAAAGAAAATGAATTATTGTTGTTTATTATTTTTATTAATTTTTTAAATCAATTGTTAAACATTAACTTGCCTAATATAAAGTTTCATACATTTGAAAATTAGCTAAAACTTATAATATAGAATAAAAGAATTTCTGATAAATAAATCAAGCTTGAAGCAACGCGGATCTCCCTGCTTAAACGATTGAAGTATGCTGAAAAAAAAAACTATTCCTAGTAGTGTGTTGTAAGCAACTATCGCTGTCTCTCAACTTCATATAATTAAATTTACGACGCGTAAACCGTCTGTAGTGCGCTAAATAATATGCTGCCAATCTACGTCAGATCGGCAATCTGTAGCCAAGCTAGACAAATTAAGAGGGTGAAAAGCAATGGAAGGAAAAAAAGGATCTACTTAGCTTAGATCTATAAATTCCACGGATAATGAACCGCACCGGTTTTATATTGACGCGCGAAAAAAACCTTTTGCACGGCGAAATAATTACTCGGCCGCATGACGCTCGCGTCTGATAATTTAATGTGATGAGAGTGCAACATAACTGTTCGTGAACAACGATCATTATTTTCCAACTGAACACATTGACATATTAATCTCGTAAATTAAAACTCTATAAATGCCTACAGTGTATTCCGCTGTTTTTCGTACGTAAATATGTTAAACCAGTTAAACGATAAATTTTTATATTTACGTTATATTGGTACTCGAGTTTGTGAGAAATGAATGTTAAATTATACATTAATTCTCTAGTAAGTAGTTCAACGTTGAAATATAATAAGATATATGGCTTCCTTCATATTCTAGAAAAAGAACTTTTTTATTTGACAAAAAAATTTCCAATTGCCAAACAATTCTTTCAAGAAACTGGTTAGCGTAGAAGTAATTTATTAACGGATATGATGCATAAGATCATCTTGGAAAATGTTAAGCAGAGACTAGACATGAAAACGCCTGTTTTGAACAAAACCATAAAAATCTTGTAAAGACGTTTTTCAACGAATCTTGTTAATTCCTTTTCCTGGTGATAAATTAATGTTATTTTCTGAAGTTACATACGAAACGTAGCAACACGTGGCACCTGGAACGGTCGTCAACCTAAGTCTATACGTGCGGATGTAGACGATGAAAAACTTGCGGCCGCGATAAGATTCGAAAGGAGCGATTAGCGGGAGACGAGAAAAAGAAGGATTTGACAGGAGGAAGCGGGCGGAGAAAGTCAATTATTCCTGGCCGATCAACTGGGAAGATCTTGTGTTTGTGGCTCTTGATATTGCGGCGCGGCCGGGAACTTACTTCACGGACATGAATGCAGAAATGCACTTCCTTCCGTTCGGCGTTCGAATGATGATCCGCGATTTGCGATATTTCGACCGACACGATGTACTTACACTATGTACAGAGCTCGATAAATATCACGTGCATGAATTAATTCGCTACAATTCACTTCCACAAAATGTCCCTATGGTTGTAGAAAGTTACAATGTCAAACATTTCAGTTTAACAAAAGAGGTCATACATGACTTTTATAGAAATTTAATATTACCATGGATCAATCAATCACTTTATTTTGAGTACTAAAAGTATTGTTAATACTACAAATAATTAAGTGATTAATTGGCTAGTATTAAATTTCTATAAGGGATGGTAAAGATAAAAGGATAAAGATAAAAATTGGCAAGAGCATCTTATTCCCACTCAACAATAATGTAATAAGAAATATTATTATTATTACCAAGATTCAATCTTGATTTGACATTACTTATTTGTGTTATTCGCATTATGGTTTAGTAACTAGATCTATGATCTCAGTAATAATAATAATATTTTCTTATATAAATACAACTTTCGGTTAAATAAACTGCACAATCATTACTGCTGGATTTGAAACATAATCATAAACTGAAGCTGAAATAATAATAATATCACAAATTAATATCAATTTAATAATAATGCTAATAAATTATTAATATTAAAAATATTGCGAAAGCTTATTGCGAAAAATATAAATGTAATATAACACACATATATTGCACGTAATAGTTACATTAATTTTTGAATTGGAAATTAGAACATTGATGTAATATTACTGTCAATTAGTATTTAATGGGGAGTAATAATTCCGCATCCGCATGTACAGGAAAATCAAGCGTTTGAAATCGTCGATGAATAAAAAAGTGAAACAGGATATTCAATCTCCTGTTGAAGGAGTTTTATAATCTGTACGTTTGCGCTTGCTGTACATTTGCGATTACGAGATACAGATATAATCGTAAATGAGAAAAATAACTGATAGTTTCGAGAGCAATAAGATCAGCACTTTCGCCATACTTATTAAGTATTGAGAAAATCGGAAACATGAATAAGACAGAGAGACAGAGAGACAGAGAGAGAGAGAGAGAGAGAGAGAGAGAGAGAGAGAGAGAAAACGAGAGGAAAAACAAAGTATACTCTGCGGCTAATATATGCGTGCTGAGGTAATTAAAATCACTCGGCTTGATTTTCCTGAAGTTATCGCGTGGCTGTTTATGCTAAGTAATTTGACGATGTGATAATGGATAAAAAAACTCATTACAGCAATCGTAACATTGTGAGTGAAATTAAAGATCACTACGGCAGATGGAAGACAATTTTACATTTTTAACGAAGATTTTGATATCTTGACAGGAAAGAAAAATAATTTTGAAGATTGACATGCGACGCCAACCCTGAAGAATGTTCTAAGCTTCGACACAATCATCGTTATGCCTTCGATAATCCATTGGAAGTCGGTAACAGTATCTGAAAAGTCGGTATATAATCTACTGTAGTATGAAAGGCTTCACAATTGAATCCTTAGCATAACGAGTTTTCAAAAACGCATTTAGTCTTTGATCTCGGTTCAGTGAATTTATAAAATTTATATTACAAATTTTTATATATGACTATTTGAATCAGCAATGTTGTTTTTTATATTTTATGAATTTGTATGTGTATTAGTATTTCTTTTTAGTTTGACACATTTATTTTAATTATTTATTAGATAGATAATAGATAAACCATATCTTACATTTTTTGCCTATTAATACAACCAAACAATTATAAAAATAATGACAATCTTAATAATATTAACGTTCTTAAAAAAAATATTAGATATTTTAATAAAAAAATATCTACGATATATGCATCGAAATGATATCAACGTGTTGATTTTTTACACTGACTTACATTAATTTTATTGTATATATATATATATATATATATATATATATATATATATATACATATATATAAAAGTTTGTTACATTCGCTTAATCTATTATATATATACTTACTTATTTAAATTTAAAAACAGAAAATAATAGAGTAAAACAATGTCGTAAAAAATTATGCTGTTTTAGTTTTCCGAGGGAAATCCTCGTTATTAATTAAGAATAGAATTTAT